GCATGCGCAGGAGTGCCGAGGACGCACTCGCCAGAAGACGCCACTCCCACCCTGCCCAGGATGCACCGCGGTGCCTGAGCCGTGACGTCACGAGGGGCGTGCCCACGCGCCGTGAATAAATCACTCGCGCTGGCGGCGAGAGCGCTAGTCAGAGGCTGGAGACCGCCTGAGCTAGGTGAGTGCTGAGGTAGCTCCCACCCCGGTGTGGCAGTTCTAGTTCCGGGTCAGAGTCACGTCTTCTTGAGACTTAAGGGTTTGGAGACACAAAACACAGGATCATACCAACGTAACTCCCGGGCAAGTTGCCTTCCCCGGGACCGAGGGATACCACGAAGAGCATCGGATCACGCCGCCCCGGAACCGCTTGAGCAACGGCCATGGCGACTCTAGTGAGTATGAATGAAACGGAGAGGCGGGGTGGGGGTGGCAGGACAGATCCACGGCCTCTCCTCGCCTCACAAACCCGTGCTTCCTCTGCAGAGCCCCGGCAGCCAGAACGTCACCGAGTATGTCGTCCGAGTCCCCAAGTAAGTCACCCACACCCACCACACGCTCCTCGGCCCGGTGGTGGCTCCGTGCAAGTCACAGTAACAGTCACACCGTAGTTAATGTCAGGCTCGATGACTCTGTCCTATTTTCAGACGCTCAGGCCACACACGGTGGCTGCGTTTAATCCGGGAGACAGAGGGAGGTGGATCTCTGGGAGTTTGAAGCCAGCCTGGAAGCCAGAGCGCGTTCCAGGACAGCCAGGGCTACACAGAGAAACCCTGTCTCGAAAAAAAAAAAAATTCCCAAACTTAGATGAATGCGAGGCCAAGTAGTCCACCATTAAGCCATACCCAGCCCTCTCTTATTTTGAAGACCAGTCTTACTGTGTAATGTAGTTCTAGCTGATTTGACCAGGCTGGCCTTAAACCTACCAAGACCCTCACACACCTCCGCCTCTTGCCTGCTTGATCTCCTCTTTTTCCCAAGACAGGGTTTCTCTGTATTTCTTTGGAGTCTGTCCTGGAACTTGCTCTGTAGACCAGGCTGGCCTCAAACTCACAGAGATCTGCATGCCTCTGCTCCCCCCTCTCCCTCAGGTGCTGGGATTAAAGGCACTTGCCACCACTGCCTGGTGGCCCACTTTTTCTTTTATTATCTTTATGTGTAAGAATGTTTTGTCTGAGTCGGGTGTTGATGGCACACGCCTTTGATCCCAGCACTCAGGAGGCAGAGGCAGGCGTATCTCGGTGAGTTCGAGGCCAGCCTGGTCTCCAGAGCTAGTGCCAGGATAGGCTCCAAAGCTACAAAGAGAAACCCTGTCTCAAAAAAAAAAAATGTTTTGTCTGCATGTATAGTTATGCACTGTGAGCATGCTGGGGCTTCTGGGTGTGGCTAACTTCTGATAGGGTTGGAGGAGATGGATCCATTTTATTTTATTTATTTATTTATTTATTTATTTTTGATCTAGCTTCTTAAACAAACTCTGGAGCAGTGGTTCTCATCCTGTGGGTTGTAACCCCTTAGGTTCAAATGACCCTTTCACAGGGTCTAAGACCATTGGACCATTGGTCTAATTAGACCAATGGTCTAAGCCTAAGACCATTAGAAAACACAGATATTTACATTATGATTCATAACAGTAGCAAAATTAGGAAGTAGTAACGAAAATAATTGTGTGGTTGGGGATCACCCCAACATGAGGAACTGTTTTAAAGGGTGCAGCTTTAGGAAGGTTGAAAACCACTGCTCTGGAGCTTTTATGAGTTCCCAGAATTACCTACAACCAAGGGGTGTAATCATGGTGGATTTTTTGAATGACTAATCAGTAGACTGAATTTTCTCTTGCCCATTCCAGGAACACAACCAAAAAGTACAACATAATGGCTTTTAATGCAGCTGATAAAGTCAACTTTGCTACCTGGAACCAGGTAAGTCTATAATTCTGGGTGGCTGGGGCAGAGGCCTAACTGGGTGGTGGTTACAGTCATCACTTTCTTGAAGTGGTGGCGGCTACACTTACAACCCTGGCAGATGTGTGGTTCCAACCATTTGGAGGTGTGGTCTGACTACATAAATCCTGTCTCAAAAAAAAGCAAGCCTGGGTTGTGGCTGGTTAATGGAGCATCAACTAGCATATAGCAGGCCAAGTAGGACCCCATGTGTGCTGGACTTGGTAGCACGTGTCTATCATCCCAACACAGGCATGCGGTATAGGTTCTTAAATTGAAGACTATCCTTGGCTATGAAGTGAGCTCAAGTGAAGACTAGGATACCTGGACCATGCTTTAACAAAGACAAAGTATGGCGGGCGCTGGTGGCACACACACTTTTAATCCTAATCCCAGCACTAGGTGTCAGAGGCAGGTGGATCTCTGTGAGTTTGAGGCCAGCCTGGTCTACAGGGAAACCCTGTCTTGAAAAACCAAAAAATAAATAAGGAAATTTTAAAGGCCAAAGTTTTAAACTGTCCACTATTCTGGGTGCCATGTTAAAATGCTATATCTCCATATTGTCTGGTTGCATCTGAGCTATCCCCTGGTGGACACCGCCTGTCTCTGTGGTCTTTCTAAGGGCCCCATTCCCTGGAGTCCCTTTTGTGTGTGACATTTCGTGTGTGCACATGCACTTGTGGGCATGTGGTGCATCTCAGGGCCAGAGGTTGACAACAGGTGTCTTCTTTAGTTACTTTGCACATTATTATTTGGATGACATATGTTAGGCCACAGATGAGTGTGGGACACAATTTGGAGATCAGAGAACAGCTTTCAGGGGTCAGTTTTCACCTGCCTGGGTCTTGAAGTCTAAGGCTTCGCAGGCAACACTCTCTCACAGACTTTCCTCATGAGTTTCTGAGTCAGGGTATCCCACTGAACCTGGGCTTGCTGACCAGTGAGTTCCAGGTACCCTCCTGTCTGTTCCTGCCTGCTGGGGCCTCAGATGCATGTGGCATTGCCCAGCTTTGTTCCTGGGTACTGAGAATCCAAACCCTCCATTCCTGATGCCCAGAGCATATGGAATCCAGCAGAGGGAGACAGAAGGGTGTTCCTGTGGGGCCTGAGGATCCATGCCTGCTGCTCCCCCAGGCCCGGCTAGAGCGAGATCTGAGCAACAAGAAGATCTACCAGGAAGAGGAAATGCCAGAGTCCGGAGCAGGCAGTGAATTTAACCGAAAGCTCCGGGAGGAAGCAAGACGAAAGAAGTATGGCATCGTCCTGAAGGAGTTCCGGCCTGAGGACCAGCCTTGGCTGCTTCGGGTCAATGGCAAATCGGGCAGGAAGTGAGTGGTACTGATGGTGGGAGGGAGGGCCTGCCTGTGTCCCTCACACATGCACACTGTGGGGGCATCCTCTCTGAATCTGTTCCTAGCATGGTGGGGTTAGGGGGGGTCCCAGTACCACCTCCCTTATGAAAGTCTGATCTGGGATAACCCCTTGGGAGAGGGTAATCCATGGCAAAGGAGATAGAGTCTCATGGAGTCAGTGACAAGTATTCTATGCACAGTAGCCATGGTGGGTTATAGGTTGGGAGTAGGGCACAGTGCAGCATGACCCAGTTCTGAAAGCAGCCTTGAAGATGGTGGCCACAGGTCACATGGTGACTTGAGTGGTGATTTGTGCTAAGGAGATCGTGGCCTGTGCCCTTCTGTCCTAGGCATTCATTCCAAGAAAGCCCAAGTGGGTTCTGAGGAGGGGCAAGTCCCTGTGTGTAGGTTTGTGACCTGACCGTAGGCTCTCCACAGGTTCAAGGGCATAAAGAAGGGCGGAGTGACAGAGAACACAGCCTACTATATCTTCACTCAGTGTGCCGACGGTGCCTTTGAGGCCTTCCCTGTGCAGAACTGGTACAATTTCACACCGCTGGCCCGACACCGCACACTCACTGCTGAGGAGGCCGAAGAGGAGTGGGAGAGGTGAGCCACAGGGGTCGTACTGCAGAGAGCCTTGCAGCAAATCCACTTGGTGCAGGCAGCTGGCTGGCCTGGGAACCAAGTGAGGGCTGGCACCACTAATTGGCCTAGCCTTCCCATGACAACTGCTTCACTTCTTGCCTAGGAGGTAGAGTCCAGGAAGCTGGGACAGAGAACTAGGGAGGCCCAGCAAAAGGTGTCCATAGAAGGTTGCTGG